CATCTGGATAGAACGCCGTACATCAACGGTCTCACAGCGCGCCGTTAAGACGTAACCGCTGTCGTTTCGCTAACAAGCAGCTAACGAAATCCTGACGAGAACGAGGTTAGGCTTAACCAGACGTAATCGTCACAGACAGAAGTCAAGAAGTAATCTCGAGGTATCAATCGAAGGGTTCGATGAAGATACTTGCTCAGCATCTTTGTTAGAGGGATTCGATCTCCGTCTTTGAAGACGAGTTCGTAATCTCCCTTGCGTCGTGAGGTCTGCACTGACAGATAGCTCGCACCCTCGATCTGTTGGCCCTTCCGCAGGATTGGAAGCTCGTGCATTTTTACACGACGACGATGCTCCTTACTCAGAAGCATATGCCATTCAAGGACGAGATGCCACATGCAGATCTTTACCTCCTTAGGAGTGAGATCTCGATCCATGTCTTCGAGACTCAGCTGTCTAACCTTGCGTGCGAGCTTCTTTCCAAACGTTTCGACCTCTTCAACGGTCATCTCTGATGCGGCGTCCGAGGCCTTTGTCTCAATCTTTCGTTGAGCGGTCTCCTTCAGAGCCTTGTTTTCCTTCCGAAACGGCTCATAATAAGTTTGATAAGCCTCCGCATAACCGAGTTTGCGACAAATAGCGAGAAAAGGGGCCAAGCGCGTACGCCTGGATCCAGGGTTATCATAGCGCTCTAGAACAGCTGCAACAATCTTCTGAGCCTTACTCTTTATCCACGAGGGATCCTCGGGCATTTTATCCTCAAAGACCATGTTCCATAGGAGCTGAATCCCCTTAAGATACTGCTCTGTGGAACTTTCGGTCCTGATCCCATCAGCCAAGACCTTCCGTAGAGTATCCATACTTATCACACCCGCCTACGGTGATGCAAGAAAATAATTTTATAACGTCTCCCAGTTCGCAACAAGTTATTTCAAAAAGGTCGGTCACAATAAAATGACGTCGAAACCTCTCCTAAACGCTTATTTTCTTGAAACTGCGTGCGGGGGGCCGAAAATTGTTGAGAAATCTCGAGATTTCTTAGGAGAATAACTAGTTATTTAAAATGCACTTGTCACTTTTTAACCGTCTCTCCGCATGCGTTTCACACCATATGCACTATATAATATCGCTCGCGGCGAGGATCGTTGAATCCGCATGGTCAGATATGCATTAGGGGGCAGCATTATTTTCTACGATTGTATCATTATAGGCAGTGCACCAGGCCAACCGATATGGAGTCCACGAAACGAAGCTTTCGAGTGATCGCTGCCTACGATGCAAAGGGGAATGATGCCCTTGCTCTGTTGAAGGATACGCGACTTGAGATCGATGCAAAGAAGGGGCGCGTCTGTCAAGCGGGGGCCCGCGCTGGGTCTCAGCTCTTTCGGACTCAGAAATGCCAGGGGAAGAAGGTTACGCTTCCACAGAGGGTGGTTGTCCTCATACAAGAGACCACACGAGGCTCATTGAACAAGAAGTACGGGTATTCAGTCGACATCGGTCCGGTGAAGAAAAGTAATCGTCCAACGGGTATGCCATTCGAGGGCACCTTTCAGAGCATAGCTACAAAGATGGAAGTCGAAGACATCGAGAGTATGAGTGCTTCGAAGAAGGTTTCGAAGTCCATTAAAGCCACTCAGAAGCCCAAGAAAAAGATCGCTGGCAAGAAGTCTGCTCCGGCAAAGGAAGCGGCAGAATCGGTTGATTCTAATTCCGATTCGGACTCGAATTGATTGCCTCATGGGATCCGGTCACGAGTCCATCGGCTGGTAGTGCCATGTAGCCGCCGATCAGGACGTTTGACACCTTTGTCAAAAGTTGCCTTCAATGGATTGTAGGAAGAAGCAGTGCAATGCTGACTGACTTTTCAATGCCCCTTCAAGCCACGTTAGCAAGTCCCAGCTTCGAAAGCTAATACACATGCTGGCTGAACTAGAATACACCGCCACGTCTTGGAACAGCGTGAACCTAGAGAAAGGAAGTTCAGTCAAAAGTCGCCTCTTTCTCTCTATAAAAAAGCGAGGCGATTCTGATTGAGAGCATTTAACGTCTTTGTCCGTGAAAAGAGAACACACGCAGCCTGTGCCAGGTCCGCCGTACCCCCTTTCAGAATCTGCTTGGTGGCGGGAGGCGCGTCCTGGGACAGGTTGCGGAACGTGTTGGCCTCTAACTCGAACTTGGTCGCTCGGAGGCGGAGGTCCATCTCCTTCATCTCACTCTCCAGCTTGCGCTTCCCGGCTGCCAGCTCGCTTGCCCGCTCGTCCGACTTGCGCATCTCGGCTGCCAGCTCGTTCTCCAGCTTCTGCCGCTTGATCTTCTTCATAAGGTCGAGCTCCTCGGGGTCCTTCTGCTTGCCCTCGGCCTCCACGGTCTCGCCGAAGACGCGGGCGGGGTGCTCTTTCGGCAGCTGGCTCTGCGCCTCCCTGTTGCGCCTGATCTCTCCCACGAGAGTCTCGTCCCCACCGAGGTAACGCACGACGACGTTGGCGCACTTGAGGCGGAATTGAGCGGCCCTTTTACCCGGTAGCAGGTTGACGATGGCCACCAGGCCTCTTGCACATGTGACCGGGGTGGGGCGCTGGCCACTTCCCTCAAATTGGAGGTTGTATACCACGGATACAACTTCCGGATTTTGGGATTTTATGTTCTCCCAAGTTTGACGAGGGTTGATAACCTCAGTAACGCTTTGGATGACGTCGAGGACGCTCACTCTCGGCGGGGTCTCACTCGTCTTCCTGATCTTTATGCCCTCTCCAAGGCCCTTCCCGCGGATTATCAACTGCCTGAGTTCATCCACGACCTTTGGCCCCTCGATCTTAAGGAAGTCGGCCACGAGCTCATAGCACTCAGAGCGGAAGTCTTCCGCCCTCGCGCCTTCGAGGAGGGTGACTATCTTGTCGAATTCGCTGACATGAAGGAGCGGGCTCTCCTTGTGGCCGGCTGTCGAAGCAGTGAAACTCGAAGTCCAGGTCGTCATCTCCTTCGGCTAGTTCGACGAGTAGGTCCAACACATTACGAAAAATCGAGTCGCACCGTTGAATTGCAGCCAAAGGTAGAGTGTTCGACCTGTCATACTCTAGATCGTCTATTCAAGTGTCACTTGGCGGCGTGTGTTTGTAAATGTATATCGACTCAGATCAAACACATGAGCGACCATCACGATGCGTCTAACAACCTTTATTGGGAAAAGTATTCTGTTTGACGAATGCCAAGTGACTTCATACTGATGAATGTTTGCGCCATGAGCTTGCAGGTCACGCTGTTCATCTAGAGGAACTGTCATTTACGAATTTGTCTCCATGGACAGCGCGGACGGCTTCGACGGCTCGGACAGCACTTTCGCAAGGGCACACGATCTCGATACCCGCCATGGACGGGAGTGCTGTCCATCTAGAGGACCTCTCATCTACGATTTCGTCTCCATGGACAGCGCGGACGGCTCGGACAGCACTTTAGAAAGAGCTCACAATCTCGATACCCACCGTGAATAGGAGTGCTGTCCATCTAGAGGACCTCTCATCTACGATTTCGTTTCCATGGACGGCTTGGACGGCTCGGACAACACTTTGGAAATAGCTCACAATCTCGATACCCGCCGTGGACGGGAGTGATGTCCACCTGGAGAACGCTATGGTATTCACACTGCAGGAGCAAAGACACGCATTGAAGGCCGCGTTTATATGCCTCTGCAGATTCTACTCCGAGACAACGTGCACGATCTTTGTTTGCCGCTCGACGTGTTGTGCATTCACGATGTATACTCTCCAATCATCTATCAAGGCCTATGATATGACTTCAATTGCACTTGATGAGTGAATCCGTGCATGGAGAAGCCGGACAATTGATCAAAGGCATCGCACAAGCGATACATCACTGAGTCACAGAGTAGTTCAGCCATATTCACATTGTAACCGCATACAAGTGTATTATACAAGCACTCTCTGAAGTACGTGTTTCAACGAATAGGTCGTCTAGCTTGTGTATGTCACCGATCTCATAGAACTTGCTATTTTTCTAGAATGCTCTCCTTCGTCGGCGTGTTGAGCTGGAAGCCCCGATAACCCCGGACCATGTGCCCCGGATTAGCGAATCTCAGCGCTGACGGCTTATCCGGGCCCTCCAGCCCCTTCTTCTTGCAAGCCTCCGCGAACTTCCGATCGTTCCGAATCTGTGGCACATCTGTATCGCCGAATCTGACGCCGTCGACCAACCTGTCCGGGTTGTTGTACGCCTCCATGAGACTGCGCGTGGACTCAAAAGCCTTGATGTTCATTCTTCCCTCTTGCTGAAGGAAGGCTGCAAACGGATCGTTCTCCTGCTCCCACGACTGCATGTATGTCTTGCTGCTCTCCGGCATGTCGAGGAGCCGCTTGCCACTCGCGTACCAGTCCTTGGCGCCTTGCACCAAGAACACCAACAGCTTCTCGGGCTCGGCCTTCAGGACGTCTTCCAATTCGAGATCACGGATCCCATGAAACGGGTTGTCGGGGTTGTAGCCCGCTTCGTCTGGGTAGAAGAACCGCATCGGGAACACCAGCGTCAAGAGGCGTCTCTTGAGCGCTATCGTCCAGGTCTTCACTCGCGGAGGGTAGTTCGAGCAGAGAATGTGCTGCAGACAAGATGGATTCATCAGCTCTCACGGCCATGAACTTAGATACAGCGTAGCCACTGGTGAAGAGCTAACAACATCAACGTTGTCCATGAAAAGGAAGTGCTAACTACGAAACCCTTTTCACGGACGGCGCAGACGGCTTGGACAGCACCGTCGAATCCTCTTTGAAGCTACAGTCAGCTGTCAACCAGTGAAACGAGGCTTTAGCCAGCTGTGTTGTCCAGCAACACAAGATCTTGCCGTGAGAGGCCCCGAGACAGCTGTGCTGTCCATCAAGACGAGGGTCCATTTACAAAGTGCTCCTCATGGACGGCACAGACGGTTCGGACAACGCGTTTGAAAGCTCTCGAAATATAGCCTTTCGCCGATGTTAAGATCCACGTCATCGAAGACTCCAGACAGCCGTGCTGTCCATCAAGACGAATTTCCATCTACAAAAGGCTCTTCACGGACGTCACAGACGGCTTGGACAGCATAGTTGAGAAGTTCTTAAATTCAAGGTTCGATCGTGAAGTCCCTCGGGAAGACTTACCAGCTGGGTTGTGGCAAACGTGACGTAATCTGAGTAGAGCGCTCTGCTCGTGATAGTCGCTTCTCCGGTTAGCCGCTTCACGTTGGCCTCCGAAAACTCATCGGTATCCTCGGACTCCGCGCACACCGCTATCCGGATACCGCGTAGACCTGGATAACAAGCGTAATTTCTACACAAAGCAAATCCCTTCATCTATGGTACGACCGTTCATCACCAATCAGAGCTTCGTTCCGAGGTTGAGCAATGAAAGAATTGGTGTCGGGTTCTACAGTTGCACAAATGGATTCAATCGTATTTGTTGTATAATATGCTTCAACTAGAAAGAAGACCTCATCAACAACGGCCCTCATTCTGGTCTGAGAGTCCCGTTTTAAGAATTTCTAAGAGTTAGCTACTTATGGTGGGTATCGCTCACCTGCTTCCGCTGGATTTGCGGCACCTTTGCCTAGCGGTCGCTGCCCCTTGGACGTAACGAGCATGTCCTTTGAGACGTCCTTGTAGAACGGACCGATCACTCGCTTCAACAGAGCCAACAGAAGGCTTTTCCCCGCTCCGCCTTCCCCAATCATCGTCAGCATGACCTGGTTTGATCTGTGCCCCGTGATCCCGTATCCGAGGATGCGCTGGAGATAAGCAAGCGCCTCCGGAGTGTGCGTGATCTGACGGAGGAAGTCGCCCGTCCTGCCTAGCGGCGTGGCAAGCCCGGTCGACGGCCACCGGACGGGGAGCTTGAAAGACCAGAGATACTGCAAGACAGAAAGAGGATAGAATGAAGTGATGTAATAACTCAATGCAAGACTCTGCAAGTGGTTCTGAAGATTTGCATCGATCAGACCGCCCCCCACTGAAATCTGTTTACGACGTGGTGGTAACCATCACATAACAAAACATTGAAGGCAGAACATGTTTTAAAGTCACCAAATCTCAATCAGGGATGTTGAGAGGAAGCATCCCTTGGTGCTTGCTATGTAGATTAAGATCGTTCCTCTGCTTCTTGACGACAAAGCGCAAGCATCGGAGAGAAGCGTGTGTCGAGGAAGTATTCACTCTTCTTGGTAGTAAGAACATTCATATACCCACCTTCGGATGGTGTGCCACAAGGATGCCGCTCTCCAACAGCACGACCCCATTCAGGAGAGGGAGCGCGTCCCTGTTCGTATTCAACGCCTCCTCAAACGCCGGCTCCTGACAATACCCTTTGAGAGTCGTCATGACCTGGCTCATCTTGGCGTTGAAGTTGAAGTTCACGAGCTTCTCCTTCCTGGGCCTTTTCTCCTCCTCTGCTTGCGAACCCCCGCCGTCGGCTTCGGACGCGGTTTCCTTCTTGTATGCCTTGCTGATCTTGTTGAGCTCTCCGCGGCAGATCTGGCTCGCAATTCGCCCAGCCACGTCCACCACCCAAATCGAACCGTTGTAGTAGAACCACTTCTCGTTGCAAAAGACGAGATTGCGGCCCGCGTACGTCTGCAAGCGATCGATGATGAGCGCCCCTCCTTCATCACCTGAAAAGGAACGTCATCGAATTGTCAATTGACGATCGAGGGGCGACCTCATGTCCACTGTATTCTTACGGGCGGCCAGTCACTTGTCCCAAGAAGCAATCCGTGCACGGCTCCCTGCGAGCCATGCAATCGATACTTTCATACCATACACGGCCTTTGATTTCGGCAGAAGGTAACCAAGAAATGGATGTTGGCTCAGGTCTGCATAAGATCAAGAGCACTGGCTTGGAAGAGGTTGATATGTATGTAAACCTCGTGCACAGGTGACCGGGTTGGGGCTCTGATCGGGACCTTCGAATTTGAGGTCCGTCCAATTTGGACGGACCTCCGAATGCTGTATAACGGCGGGAATACACCGGGTAAATTTGATAGATTGAAAGCGCGTTAGGACTGATGCTGCTTAAGGGGCGGCTTACCCGCTGAAACCGAGAGGTTTCGCCGTAAGAACCAGAGGGGAAGCAGTTCCCGATTCTCGTACAGTCGGTCGCGGTCGCTGTTCAGCGGGGAAGCATCCGCAAAAGATGCGGCCACCGGAAACATGAGACGCCCGAGTCTCTTGTTGCGGCAGCCGTCGCC